CATGATAATGGTGTCAAACTCGTGGTCATATTGTAGGAAATATTATCAATCATGGCATTACCTGAATAACAAAAAAAAAAAAAGAAAACTGAGCAAAGTGCAACGCGCACACTGAGCGGACTGCAGCGCGCACACTGAGCCCAGTGCAGCGCGTGCACACTGAGCGGACTGCAGCGCACACACATGTAGGTCTGGCCCTGAGTGTGCGCGCTGCGCTGCGCTCAGTGTGAGCATCAACTGCACTACGCGATCGGTGTGTGCGCGCTGCAGTGTGCCCAGTGTGTATGCTCTGTTGGTGATGTATGTATACTTATGTGTTTTCTGTTTGAACTTAAATGTACATGATCGGGATTGATGTCTAACCATGAGGCATTATTGATTAATAGGTGAAATACAGTTGGAGTCTTGTATGGAGTATTGGAACTTGTAAGATTGTCTTTAATCTAATCTGGGATAATGTCTCTGGGCATTGGCTGGTGTATGAACCCACGTAAACACTATTATGATAATGGTGTCAAACCCGTGGTCATACATATTGTAGGACATAATATCAATCATGGCATTACCTGAATAACAAAAAATACGTTGAGCAAAGTGCAGCGCGCACACTGAGCCCAGTGCAGCGCGCACACACTGAGCGGACTGCAGCGCACACACGTAGGTCAGGCCCTGAGTGTGCGCGCTGCGCTGCACTCAGTGTGCGCGCTGCACCTCGCTCTGTGTGTGTGCGCTGCACTGAGCGCAGTGTGCGCACTGCAGTCCGCTCAGTGTGTGTGCTGTGATTGTTATTAATGTATATGTCTTTTGTGTGTGTACTTAATGGATTAACTGTATTTGATGGATGTGTAACCATGAGGCATGTATTGATTAGGTGAAATATAGCTAGAGTCTCAGTCTCGTATGGAACTTGTAAGCTTGTATTTCTAGTGTAAAAATACGGCTCCGATATAGTTTGGCAGTTGACAATTTCTGGGATAATGTCTCCTAATTTCTGGGATAGTGGCTGGTGTATGAATCCACCGAAATATTATTATGATAATGGTGTCAAACCCGTGGTCATATTGTAGGAAATATTATCAATCCTGGCATTACCTGAATAACGAAAAAATACAATGAGCCCAGTGCACGCGCACACTCTGAGCGCAGTGCGTAGGTCAGGTCCTGAGTGTGCGCGCTGCGCTGCGCTCAGTGTGTGCGCTGCATTGCGCTTACTGTGTGCGCGCTGTTGTGTGATCAGTTCTTGTGCTTCAAACGCCTCTGTGTGTGTGTGTGTGTGTTTGTGTGTGTGTGTGTGTGTGTGTGTGTGTGTGTGTGAGTGTGTGTGTGTGTGTGTGTGTGCGTAACGGTTGGGTAAATGTATAAGGTATATTATGTATTGATGAATAGATAAGAAACCTTTGTCATCTTTCACACCACTTCCAACATGTGATCACGTCATTAATTACAAACGCATTCACTGTTACTGGTATTTGAAAGGGGCACAGGTCATAGACTTTATATAAAGAAGAGGAGGAAAAAATATACAGGTGAGGACGAAAAACTCATGAATTATCAGACAGACAAAAGACAACAGTGAAGGAATTATAAGACCAATGCGCTGTGTGTGTGCGTGTTGTAGGAGTCTTTGTGAGTGCGCGCGTTGGAATCGACAAGTTGTGTGTGTGTTATAAGTGGTACGATGTGTGTGCGCTGCATACGCCCCCTTGTGTTTGTGTTAAAAGTGGTACGATGTGCGTGCGTTGCATACACCCCCTATGTGTGTGTGCAAAGTACCTACAGTGTGTGTGTATTTTGCAACACTTGGCCCTCCGTATACCATACAACCACGTAGTACACGGCATAAATCTAGTTTTTAACAATTTTAAATTTGTTTGGAACGACGAACTGTCTTTAAGACATACATACTACATGTTCACTGTGGTACCGGCCGTGCGTAGAAGGGATGCGTACTTAATTCGAGTTTTTCCATTTTACGTTTCAGACGGGAATATTTGTCTCCCACCAGCCCCAAATCCGGGGTGCGTACTTTAATCGGGATGCGTATTTCATTCGGGAATTTACGGAGGGAGAAAGAGAAATGGACTGGAAAAATGGGGGGGGGGGGGAGGG